AGCATCTTAGCTGTGGAGGGCAGTGTCACTGGCCCTCATATGTGGGATCCGAACCGGGGCCCTCTGGCATCCCAAGCCAGTTCTTAACCTTCGCGCCACTCGGCCGGCCCTGTTGTTGATTTTAAAAGAACCTATTTTTCTGTGGAAGACTGATTGGGACACCCACTTGGTTGTCACCTACAAGAAGGTTGACTTTCCATGTTTTGAATGAAAGTGAAGATTAAAGATTGATACTACCCCGTGTTGCCAAAAGCTTGCAGAGGGCAGCACTCCTGCATCCGTTTCTCAACAATGGATCGGAGAAGCCAGCGAAAAGGTCAGCAGTGCGTTCCAGGGGCTTATCTGAGGACCTGAACGGTCAGGGCTGCAGGGTCGGACACAGCAAGGACCGTGTCAGCAGCCGTTGGTGCCAGTGTAGCTGTAGAACATGCTTCTGTTATAATCCGCCAGTTACACGGATTGTTATGTAGCCATTAAAAGGCTGGACATGTAAATGTGTCTTAATGTAGTGTTTTATCATGCCATGGTCACTTTTAAATGATATTATGTGCATACCAATGTATACTATATAAATGGGTAATGAAATATGTGTAGCCTAAGTCACGTGTGTGTGTGTCTCTGTGTACACACAGAGTGTATATAGGTTGTGAGTGCATATGGAGAGAGAGTTCCGGAAGATAATGCACCAAAATGTTAAGAGATTCATGTGATAATGAGGGGTATGTTTTGCGGAGTACTTTTATTTTCTGCTTCCTACTCATGAATTAGTTGTGTTTTTATATCATATTATAAAAACCTAGAAATTTACATAAGTAACTTAAGTGAATTTAGATAATCGTAAGCCCTTCCTTTTTCCCGGCTGATTATATAGCTGCCTTGCACTTCTGGCAGAATGCCTGGTGTGTTAAAATCAGTGTTGCTAAGCAGCTGGGTTTTACAGAGCTGTTTGATTTCATGTCCTCGGCGAGTCGGCTTGGACAGAGCGCTGGGGCCGTCTGTCTGATCTGGGTGCAGTGTTGACCAGCCCGTTGTTCCCCTTTTCTCCTGCAGGGGGCGACACTGAGGTCCAGCCTGGAAGGCGGCTCTACACTGTGAGTTTGCCGCCGGAGGGGTACGTGCCTGTTCCCCCGGAGCCACCCAGGTGCACGAGTTCTGAGCACTCCTCCAGCGGCGATGACACAGGAGGTAAAGTCAGTCCTTGAGGGTGGGGAGATAGGTGACGTCTTCCAGGTGAAGCAGCTTCCCAGTTGTCCAGGACTGTAAACCAACTTTACCTAAATGTGTAACAGAGGGGTTGGTTGGTGAGCATGTCGCCGCATAGCCACACGGTGCACTGGGATGTGTTTTGCAGTCATTAAAAGCAATTTTAGACAACTCGCAGTGACAGGAAAAAGTAGTTAAGGTGGGAGGAGATTAAAAGTTGGGATGGGATTATAGTGATATCTGTTAATACGTTAGAAGTCAGCTGTTAAATACCTCAAAATGTTACAGCACGTGTCTTGGTTTTGTAGAACTTTTTTTCTTGATTTTCCAATTCTTTCAAAGTTTCTGAGATTGTATATCAATTTTGTATTCATGGAAGGAACTTATTTTGCATCTCTTTTGTGGAAGTGAAGTGGTGTGTCTGCTTTGCTGGTGCCTGTCTGATGAGTGGAGGAAAATGGCGCCTGGGTGGCCGCCGCTCCGGTGGGCGCTGACGCTGCCATCAGACTTTCGCCGTGAAGTGACGTGGCAGCTCATCCCCTTTTCAGTCTTCATTTCAAAGCTTCCTTAAGAGGAATGTGCAGTGTGGAAATAAAAGTTTTCCTACGTGATTTTTAACAAGTATAAACTAAGAAACTCTATACTCTAAATCTTAATTAATTTGAGTATTAAGAAAGTGTAGCTTTCTGGTACATTGATCTTTCTGACTTCCTAATTAAAGGGTCAGAAACCATAAAGCTAAAATTTGGATAGCTAAGGAATAAGACATTTGTCTTTTCAAGCCCCGTTGAAAATCTCAGTAATGTATTAGATACACAGATTATTTACAAAATTGAACTGTGTTCTTATGAAGATAAATTACTTTGGCGAACTTGCTTCATCATGTTCTTAGTATATACAAGAAAAAGTGTGTCAGGCCCGCTGGGTGCTGTCACGCAGTGAGCCCTGCCGAGGCCGCCAGGAGGAAGGGCTGCGAGGTCTTGCTGAGAGCACAGCTCTCTGTCCCCGGCCAGGTGCCACCTCCCAGCCTCCTCTTAGGGACCAAACTCAAGCGATGTCCTGGTAGGAGATGAAATGATGACGGTGCCAACCAGACAAGTGTATCTCTTGTCAGCGACGGTTCCTGGAGGATCATGTATTCCCAAACCCCTACCAGTCACTCTTCCTGTTCCGAGGGCCCAGTGCGGCCACCTCAAAGAAGGCGTCTGGGATGGGCCTGGCGCCCGCTACTGCTTTAGCAGCTGTGGTTAGTTAGAGCACAGAGTGATTTTTCTAAAAGCAAAGAAAAGGTTCTAACAACAAGGTTGCCTGTGTTGGAGATGGTGGCTATGCCCTCCCGCAACTAAAGACTGAAGTCGGCACCTTGGGCTGAGCTGCCACCCAGATGGCTCAGTGGGTAGAGCGTGCGCTCTTAACAACAAGGCTGCTGGTTCGACTCCCATGTGGGATGGTGGCTACGCCCACCCACAACTATTTGAACACAGCACCTTGAGCTGAGCAGTGCGACTGGACTTGGAGCTAAGCTAGCTGCACCCTCCACAACTAAGATTGAAGAACAACAACTGGCTGTTCCCCTTCCCCAATTCCCCAATAAAATATTTAAAAATAATAGTAATGATAAAAAAAAGAAAAGGGGGATTGAGTCATTAGCCTTCATTCCATTTAGATTGCCATGGCGACTTGGCAGATTCCCAGTGACTTTTATAACTTAGACTACATTATTACGAATTACATTTTCATAGGTGGTTTGTCACGCTAAGCCTTTCCGTTGGTTTATTTCTTTCTCTTGTTACCTGGTTCGTGGGAGCAGTCAGTGTTGAGGCCAAGGTCAGGGGAGGGGTCGGTGATTGCAGGTGGGGGCATGGGTGGACCTGGCCCTCCCATGGGGGAGGCTGCACAGGTCAGCGTAGAAATTGGGGTCACAGCAGGATGTGGGGCACAGCCTCGAGGTTACTGTGATGTGTCCGCCTCCCTGTGTCCATTCTGGCTCATTCTTTCTGCCCTGACCTTAGGTCTAAGTTCTGCTGCCCCGCGGCCTCCAACACTGGCCCCTGTGTGTTTGTCCTTGTCACTGGCACTCCCCTGGACGGTGTGAGAGAAACTTCCCAAGATGGACTGGAGCCAGCCTCCGAAGGAACGGGTTTGAGAGACCAAACAGAGGCTGTGAAGGGAACTTGAGGCCCGAAACAGAAGAGGGTCCGGACAGCAGTGCTGCAAGTCTGTGCACCCAACAAGGGGCGGGGGGACTTGTAGATGGGGGGACACGGGTGGCCCTCTGGTGGCACGGGCACTTGCCTCCCAGGGTGAACTGGCCGTCACCGAGGGCAGCTTGCTTCTTAGATAGCGTCGCTCACGTCCAGCGCTGCAAACCACTGTCCCTGCGAGCCGGGCTCCCCACCAACATCCTCCTGCCAAGGTCCCCCCAACTGGGGACTCAGCCTCAGTGCTAAGAAGCAGCTCTTTTGAGACAATGAGTTCAGTTCCTAAGTCAGCGTTGCTGAAAACACCACCCAGTTTTTCAGAAGAGCTTTGAATAACTGAATCATATTCAGGCTGGGAAGTTGATGTCTTCCACTTTTGAACACTTGTAACTCATCTCAAAACAGTGCAGTTTGCTTTTTCACAGTCTGTTCATCTAATATTTTTTCCCTTGTAAATCCCAGGAGGTGAGCATTTCAGGGCCTTTGAAATGATCGAGCTGAGAAGGTGCTGATGAGCACTGTGGGCTCCATCTCCGACCCGAGGGAGCGTGCAGAGCGGGCTGGGCAGCCCTGCGCTCAGGGTGGGGGGAGTGGGGGGGTTCAGCAGGAGCCTGGGCACATCCCTTGCTCCGATGCCCCAGGACAGGACTGTTGGGGAGCTGGGGACTCGCCAGGCTGAGGTGCGGAGACGTCGGAGGCTGAGAGGGAAAGCGCTCCTGAGCCTTTTCCATGGCAGCGTGAAGCCAAGAACATGCGGACTGAAGCTGGAAAAGAAAAGCCAGCTTGTTACTGTTTCTCAAAGAGCCACTTCCGGCGCTGACTTCCGCTTTGAATACGGGGACCAAGGAGTCACTTCTAGAAACTCCAGGAGGAAAGGATGATGCTGTTCGCCTTTGCTTCCCGCACACCCGCCTGCACAGGCACCGCCCGCGGGTCAGCACGGTGCCCAGACTCAGATGGCCCAGGTCATCCACGCGGCGGGTGGCAGGTCCGGTGCTGGCCCTACAGGGATCCCACGCTGGCTCCAGCCCGAGGCCACCAGGAAGCAGCGGGGAGCCTCTGGGTCGCGCCTCCAGCTCTGTCGGCCTGTATTGCTGTGTCAGCGTCCTTTGTTCCTTGTCCTCAGCGCCCGGCCGAGGACCTGTCCCAGTCCACACTCAGGGCTTGTGAGCTAGAGCTGTGTCTCTAGGGCTGTTCGGGGCTGTCTGTGTGTTATGGAGACAAGCACGTGCTCAGAGGTCAGGACAGGAGACCGCAGTGCCAGGCTCCGTCTCTGCGCTGTGGCTCGTCTCGGAATGGAACTAATACTGACTCTGAATTCTTTCCCACTTCACATTTGCTAGGAATGGTTAGTGAGAGTTGTGCAAAATGGAAGCAGTGTTATTAAATGGGGAATACCTCCCCACTTATGTGTGGCTTGTTTAAATACCGTGGTACAACTTTAGACAAAGAGAAATATGTGCCCAGTCCTCAGTGACCTGGTGTCGCGCCTCATTCTCGGGAAGCCGGTAACCTCTGGCCCTCTGCGCATTGGGCCAAAGGAAGCCGTGCTGCCAGGCAGCGGCCATGGGAAATGCCGGACAGCCGTGTCGGGCAGGTCAGCGCGTTGCTCTGGCAGAAGCCCCATGTGCTCACTCGCTTTCCTGGCACGCTGACAGGAACGCTGCCCTGCGTGAAGTCACATCTGTTACAGTGAGGTCAGGATTCCTCTGGGGCAGCCAGGACAGGAAGTAGTGTTTGTCCTCAGTACCAAGTCGGTCGTCTGAATGAGTCTGGGGATTCCAGTGGCCAGTCATGGAAAGCGTGACAGATGGGCCGTTCCTGAGAAGGTGCCACACCCTTCCTGCACACGCCCTGGGCAGCGGCACGAGACACCTCGGGCCATGTGACCCAAGAGAGTATCTGTTCCCTGGGCTCTGTGTGGTGCACACCACTCCTGTCAGGTCCCCTGGGAGGTGACAGGGATTTGGGGAGGGACAGCTAGTATCTGAGAGTCTAGTTCGTGGAAAACAGAGAATGCCCAGACCATTCGAGTTCGTGAGTGCTGGCTCTGTGCCAAGCCACATCACAAGACCTCTGCGTACCTGCTTCCTTACTGCACGTCTGATGTTCGGAGCTTCATGTTGTGTCCTCATGTTTCATGCAGGTTAATTAAAGTGACGGAGAGGTTTTTCAGCTTGTTTTTGTAAGACTATCCTTTGAAACCTTGTTCCGCACTCAGCCTGCATTACTAATGTTTGTATAAAACTCCAGGTGAAGAAGCTCCTTTTAAGAGTTCAGCACCAGACAGTGTTCTGGTTGCCGTGAGCTGGTGTGCTCTGCTTTCGGATGAGAGGTGTGTCACGCACGTGCTCTTTTTGCCCTGGCCGACGGGAAGCTCAGCCCTCGCTCTTACTGCTGTTCTTCCGTCCCAGACGTCTCCTCCGTTTTCTGACAGTCACCTTCCCACTGCTTCGCTCACTTGTTTCAGGTTGAGTCCCTCGGCCGACGGTGCTTCTGAGCTGCGCCTTTGGAAATAAACAGTTCAAGCGCCAGCTCACGCTGGTGAGGGCCTGTGCAGGGTTTGTGCTTAGGCCCTGGGAACGTGACAGTGGCGAACGGTGCCCTGTAGGAGATCCCCGTCGGAAGAGCACGTGGAGGTGACATCACAGAGCTGGCGAGTTGTGTAAAACGGGGATCCTGGGAGCAGCCCGGGTGGGCAGAGCGGGGGGCACTCGCGTGCCATTTGACCTGCCTGCCGGCGGGAGGCTGAGGGCTCGGGACACGCTGTGCGTCCGTGGA